CGGAGGAACCTGGCAAGCTCCAGTTCGTGGTTTCACAGAAAGTCAGACACGCCTGAGCAGCTAACACTGAGGGAAGGAGAAAAGAGGCAGAACGGGTGGGACTGGGTCTAGGGCCACTGAAAGCGGCCTCTGAATGCTTTACGCTGGTCCAGACCCCCAGGCGCCCTTGGCTGGAACTCTCTGCTTTTCCTTCCTCATTCTCACACTGATGGACATCAAAAACCATGAATGTTTCTTCTTCTTGGTTCATCTGTGTCTTCACAGATTTCACTGACCATATTTCCCAAATTCACTCAGTTAGGACATTCCATTTCAAATACCTTTGTATACAAAATATTTCAAAGAGTGTGGGTATCCATATAATTAAATTTTAAAACTTCTAACATAGTTTCTCATGATGTGGTGGCATAATAGCATGACCTGGATAAAAGGAGAGAGAGAAAGACGGAAGCAAGGATGGAAGGAAGGAAGGGAGGGGAGAGAGAGAAGGAGGAGGAAGGGGAAGGAAAGGGGTGGAGGAGGAGAAGAAAGGAAGAAGGAGAAAAAGAGAAAGAAAGGGAAATGACAAAAAAAAGAGAAGAGAAAAGAAAAAACAAAACCTGTGTCTCACCCTACTCAGAAACAATCAGAACTTGGAGTGTTGCCTGGTCATTAGTTTATTTGTGAAGTTCTCCCCAGGTATTTCTAATCCCTGGGTAAAGTGGAGAAACACTGCATATAATATATGCAGACATATTTCATAAGCTTCTACTTCACAGTACTTTGTCTATCTCCTATAACACAGTGGATATCAGGTATTGTCCTCTGCACTAGGCACTCTGGGAACAGGCTAAGGATGACTTCTCTTTTCAGAGTATTTCAGGCTAAAACCCAAACACTCCAACTGCAAAGGTACAGTCCTTAGCTTTCCAGTTAAACATGAAGAAGTGATAAATATTGCCAAATGTGGAAGAGTTCTGGAAACTCTCAAGTGCTAAATATTTACAAAAAGTTATAAAAATTCAAATTTCCAGTGATTTGCTAAGACACACAAGATGGGTTCTTCCAAAGCTAGATCACCATACGCAGAATTTACAGAGGGAACTGTCAGGAACTTGGTGCACACCCTAGTGCCTCAGAAATACTGAGAAGCTTCTGCCTGCTAAGGAATCATTCAAGAAAAACACACAATTTCAGAATACATGACCTTCCTAGAGTTTGCTCTGGCTGCCAGGTTAAGAGTTTCCAACCTAGGTTGTTTTCATCAGCAAATCAAATAGAGGAAAGTTAGCTCTAAAGAAACTGTTTGCTTTACCCTTTGGCCAGGCAAGGGATCTAAGGGCAAAGAGAAAATCAGACTTGATAGGAGAATTCATGCAAGATTACTGAAGGAGTAAAATTAGAAGAAGTAAATAGAGCATTTTAAACATTATTGTTATTCTGACCAGTGTGGAATGGTACCTCACTGTAGTTTTGATCTGCATTTCTCTAATAATTAGTGATATTGAACATCTTTGCATGTGCCTCTTGGCAATCAGTATGTCTTCTTTGGAGAATGGGTAAAGATGTGGTACGTATGTACAATGGAATATTACTAGGTCATGAAAAAGAATGAAATTGGGTCATTTCATTCTAGATAGACCTAGAGGCTGTCATACAGAATGCAGTAAGTCCAAAAGAGAAAGATATTTAGTGCATATATGTGGAATCTAGAAAAATGGCACAGATGAACCTATTTGCAGAGCAGGAATAGAGATGCAGACCTAGAGAATGGATGGATGAACATGGGGTTGGGGGAAAGGGGGTGGGATGAATTGGGAGATGGGGACTGACATATATGCACCACTATGTATAAAATAGATGACTAATTATACGCTACCATATAGTACAGGGAGCTAGCTTGGTGTTCTGTGATGACTTAGATGGGTGAGATGAGGGGGCTGGTGGGAGGGAAATCCAAGAAGGAGGGACTGTATGTATACTTGTAGCTGATTCATTTCATTGTACCTAATACAGCATTGTAAAACAACTATATCCCAAGAAGTAAAAAAATATATATTGCTGATGTTATTTTAGATGGGTCTTGCAGAAGGGGAAGAATTTGCCTAAATGGAGAGATTTATTAAGGTATTTCTGATAAAGTGAACTCTGTGAGTAAATTGTGGGGATGTGGCAGTAAGAAGAGTCCCATATTCCAGTGGAATCTGGAATTGTTCAGTTTTCTTGAGGTTAGGACACCTGGAAGGGGGAAGAAAAGAGAGAGATAGAGAACAGTGTAAAGTATGGAGTAGAGTCAGGATACTGCATACAAGGAATTACTACTCTGAAGGAATTCCCACGTGCCTCCACTGTGGAGTTGAGTTTCTGAATTCAACTTTTACCAATTCTGCTCTGTGAATTTCCCTTTCCCTGTGACTAAACATAGAAGGCAAGGCTCAGAACAGCCAAAAGTAGGATTATCCCATTTCATGAATGGGAGAGGAATACTGGAATGCTTGCAAATTCCAAATATAAAAACCAGGATGCATTCTAGTATCACTTTCCCAACTTTCCTGTGCTTGTGGAAACTGTCCTTCAGAATTGCAAAAAGGCAATGGCATGTGTTTTAGGAAAAGAAATCTACTCAGGGTACCAATCCACAGTGGCTGACCCAGTTTATTTCTAATTCTTATCACAGCCACTGTTTCTTAAAGAGTTCAACGTCTTTCTTTCAGAAGCCAAGAGAGAGTGATTCTTGTAGGATTTAAAAACCAGGTGCTATTCTCTTTTGTAAATAAGTTCGTTGGTAACACTTTTTTTTAAGATTCCACATGTAACTGATACATATTTGTCTTTCTCTGACTTACTTCACTTAGTATGATCATCTCTAGGTCTATCCATATTGCTGCCATGGCATTGGTTTGTTCTTTTTTATGTAATAAAAAAGTAATAGTCACTGTATATATACACCACATATCCATTCATCTGTCAGTGATGAATGGGCATTTATGTTGTTTCTCTGTCTTGTCTCTTGTGCCAAGTTCTGCTATGAACACTGGAGTGCTTGTATCTTTTTGAATTATGGATTTGTAACTGATTCTCTTTGCTATACACCTGAAACTAACACAACATTGTCCATCAACGATACTCCAATAAAACCTAGAAAATTTAAATGAAGAATAAATTAACTAATTAAATAAAATAAAAGCCAGTGCCATTTTGTTCTCACCATTGCCCACGGTTCACTGTAGCTACTCCTGTTCCATGTGAGAGGCCGCTGCTCATGCAGGAAGTTTACCTCTGTGACTGGTGCTCTCTCTCTGGGAAGACCTTCTGATCTTCCTTCTCTTTCTTGCCTTTCTCCTCCTCGTGTTCCAAGTTCCCCACCATTTATCTCCGAGCTTCTTATTGATACATTTGCATGGGTCTGATGGTATGATAAATGTTTCAATAGCTTTTTCATATCTTAAAGGCCAATTCTTGTCCTCTTAAATGTCAAGGTCAGTGATCATTTTTGCAATTATGTGAAATTCCAATCTCTAGAGACAGATCTGATAGGTGGAAGTGGCTTTGGTCACATAGGGTTAAAACACATCTCTCCTTGCTGCCTCCTTGGTGAACCCTCACCTGTATTTCTTCACATCTTCCCTCGGGGAGTGGTTGGCACCACATCTGCATCTTTTCCACCTGTCACTTAGAAAAGCAGACATTTTGTAAAAGCTGACTATAAAAAAGAAGAAGTAGCCAGTGAATTAAACTAACCAAAATAGCTGCAAAAATCATCCTGATATTCTGACTTGGATTCATTTTCAGATACGTGTTTACAGAAAACCCAAGACGTCTGAAAACTAATCACTGTCATAATCACTCCTGTTTCTGGGTAACATCTGGCTACTTCTCCTTGCTCATCCGTGTGGGTCCCATAGTCCCAGTCTTCTGTTCATGGCTCATCTCTGATTCTCTGCACTTCTTTCTCATTCCCACCAGAAATAAAAAGCCACATCACCCTCAAACACCTTTAAAATTCTGTGCATCCAACTTGAAGGGACTGTGGCTTTGGAAAATCCAATATAGGCAGCAAAGAGATTTCTGGGAGTGGGAGAAAGAATCCTGTCCTCCTAGATGGAGCTCATGGAAGAAAGATTTAGGAAATTCAATCAACGTTTCATGTAGTCATCCACAAACACCTGTTCTGGGGACTCTGAGCAGCTCACAAGAAACAAGGACTGGGAAGTTTGAGCAATGGTGTCTAAGGCCAGGCCAAGGCTGTGAATCTTCTAAAGGCTGTTCTTGTGGCTATTGAATATCTTTTTTTCCTTTCTTTTTTCATTGGTATATAGTTGATTTACAATGTTGTATTAGTTTCAGGTGTACAACAAAGTGATTAAGTTATACGTATATATGTATCTTACGTATACATATATATGTACATATGTATATATGTATATGTATATATGTATTTTCAGATTATTTTTCATTATAGATTATTACATGATATTGAATATAGTTCCCTCTGCTATACAGTAAATCCACGTGGTTTATATAGTAGTGTGTACCTGTTAATCTCAAACTCCTAATTTATCTTTCCTCCCTACCCCACCCCTTCCCCTTTGGTAACTGTAAGTTCGTTTTTATGTCTGTGAGTCTATTTCTGTTTTGTAAACAAGTTCATTTATATCTTTTTTTTTTTAGATTTCACATATAAATGAATCATATGATATTTGTCTTTGACATATTTCACTTAGTATAATAATCTCTAGGTCTATCCACATTGCTGCAGATAACATTTATTTCATTTTTTATGACTGAGTAATTTTCTATTCTATATAAATGTGTGTATAATATATATGTATATATCATATAGATTATAATATGCATATATCACATCTTCTTTGTCCATTCATCTGTCCATGGTCATCGAAGATTTTTCCGACAGACTCTTTGACAGATAGTATAAGTGCACATGGAGATTGTCTATTGCCTGCCAGGCGCGCCCACCCCGTCCTCAATGCTGTTCTCTCCTCCTCTCTCCTTCTGTTCAGTGCAAATGGTGCCTCCTATGAAGTCATGCAGATCGACGTAGAAATTGAAGAGCCCAGTGACCAGCCGGCCACACAGCTTGTCACATGGCAGGTTGAATATCCAGGAGACATCACATCTGACTTGGGTGTCTCCAAGATCTACGTGAGTCAGAAAGACTTGATCGGAGTCATCCCACTGGCCATGGTAAGAGAGTCCCTGCCCCGGGCTGTTAATACAGACCTCAGAGAAAGGCAAAGCATCACCCCATGCCCTAAACACACTGGGAAAATGTCAGTGAGCCCAGAACCAGGGTCAGGGAAAACTGACAAAGTTACTGCAAGTTGCTGATTCTAAATACATACTTATATATCTCTTTAAAATATTATTTAGAAAATAATCAAAGTCCAGGCGTTAGATTTGGGTCTTCCACGATAAGAAAAGTATTGATGATTTTATCCAGGCATTTGTATGATACACTGGAGACTATTCAAGGATCTTAAGCACGTATACCTGCAGAGACCAAACGGATCTAGCATCTGAGTGAAAGGTGACAAGTGACTTGACAAATACCTAGTGAAAAGGCCTAGCCAACAGGAAAGCCATGCAGGAAAGCCAAGGAAACGTCTGAATTCTTAAGACCTACTGACTTTTCAACAGAAAACATCCAAATAATTTTAGTGTGAACCATCAACTCCTTCTTGTGAGAACTGATTTTATTTTAAATCAAGCTTGTCCAGGAAATGGTTAGCTATAATCCATTCACAGGCCATCTATTTGTAACTTGTAGAAGATTTAGGTCTCTAAGTCAGTCCATGTGTTTCCTAGGATTTGTGGAACAGAGATGTGCTTTCATCCTTAGTCGGACCCGCCCCCTGGTTGCTATGCAATGGACCACACTGCCTGTGTTCCCAACTAACCACCCAGGTTGACCTCAACAAACACATCAATGCCTTGTTTAGCCTTACATTTTCCTGGGGTCTTTCTACAAAGAAATAATATGTTTTCCTAATGTGAGTTTTCACAGTGCAAATGCTTGGGATTGAGAGTCTGCTGAAAGTACGTTGAGCTTCCTCATGTTACAAAAGTACTTTTACTGTTAGAAGTGAAGGATTGGTTGACCTATCCACTGACAGCCTCATGTCTCCCCCTCACCATCTATTAGGAATTATTGACAAGCGTTATTATGGGGCCATGAAAGGATGTCAGGAATCAATCTTTCAGTACAAGGTAACATGGACAGTTGCCTAGTGACACTAAGTTGGTTATTATGCTGTTCATCAGGCGATGTAAAGGTGTTGGGGTCCTACAGTTGATAAGGGCTCTTATTAACTATTAACTATTTCTTTTATTATATTTTAAAGGCTCCAAATCTCCCCTGGTACATTATTTCATATGTGACAGCAGCACTCCTTCGTTTAGGCTATTAGTGGTTCTATTACTGGCAATGGCAAGACCATTTGTCTTGAATAAGTCATTATTTGAATTTGTTCCTCTTTTCAGCACCTTTAGTCTGATGAGCTTTTAGCCATACACTGCACAGCTTCTGTTGCTTGGCTCAGCATCAGACAGTCTGCTTGGTTTCCCGAGTTCAGCATTTCTTCTGCCTAGACTGTCAGCCTGTTTCAAACCCCACTGTTCTTCATAACCTACATGAATCCCTGCTCACATGAATCCACTTTCTGTCTCTCTGGTCTCTGAAACTGTTCTCCCCTTGCATCACCCTTTCTGCCTGCCATACGTGTAATGGTAGAAGTGTGTGTAGTGGCAGAGCTAGAGGATTCTCAGTTTTTATCAGTTAGGAATTGCATTTGACTGCAGACAAGCCCTAACCTTAACTCCAAACTTAGCCCTCCCCACTCACTCCACTTTACCCAGGCCAATAGTCACTTTAAGACAAGTGTTTTTCTTTCATGTAAAAGAACTAAGGTTTTTAGTGCAGGGCTGGTATATTACCCCATGCTATCTGAGACTCAGTCTTCATCTTTATTTCTGCTTCAGCACTCGAGAGCATACATTCTATCCTCATGGTTACCTTATGGTCCAAAATGGCTACTGGGATGCCAGCCAGCATATCTGTATTCTGCCAACCAGAAAGAGTAAGAGATAGAGAATTGGATCAGTTCATTTTCCCTTTCAAGAAGTCTTCATAGGAAGCCAATATAATATTTCTCTGTGTATCCAATGAGCAAGAACTTGGTGATATGGGCATAGTTAGTTGGAAGGAGGACTGATAAGTCTCCTTTTTAGCATGGCACATTGCTCATGTTCTGTTACAAGGAAACAACATGAGATTAGATATTTCAAGGCAATGAGCAGTATTTGAAACAATCCCTCTCCATTTCCAGATGAGGAAACTGAGGCTTGGAGTGATTCCTAATCCTAGCACCTGTTTTCCATTCTGTGTTCATCTTTATGAGCCTCCTGGGAAGCAAAATAAAATATACATTTATCTTGGTCTCCTTTTACCGGCTATTGCTGTTGTTTAATCACTCAGTCGTGTTTGACTCTTTGCGACCCCATGGACTGTAGCCCACCAGGCTCCTCTGTCCATAGGATTTCCCAGACAAGAATACTGGAGTGGGTTGCCATTATTAGCTATGCAACCATGCTAATTTCACTCTGGCTCAGTATCCTCATCTACAAAGGGTGAAAGTGATAATACTCATAAGGTTGATGTAAGAAAGAGTGATAATTCAAGAGGGCCTGGAAGAGTGCCCAGTGAACTCAAGCATACAATAAATGTTTGCTCTTATTACAATCACTTAGTTACTAAATGCAAAAGATAAATAATTCCCTAGCAATTACATTGTAAAGTCTTTCAGGAAAGGGAATGTTCCCAGTCCCCATGTTTCCCAAGATAAGAAGAGTGCTAGGCAATGTGTAGATGCTCACTGATTCTTTTTTTTAAAATAATTTTAAACAGTTACACTCCATTTACAGTTATTACAAAGTATCAGCTATATTCCCCATGTTGTAACAATAAGTCTTTGAGCTTACCTTACAGCCAATACTTCCTACTTCCCTCTCTCTTACCCCTGTATCACCTGTTCACCACCTCTCCCAGCTGGTAACCTAGATTGTTCTCTAGACCCATGAGGCTGCTTCTTTTTTGTTGTATTCACTAGCCTGTTTGTATTGTTTTAGATTCCACATGTAAGTGATATCATACAATATATGTCTTTCTCTGTCTGACTTATTTCACTTAGCATAATGCCTTCCAAGTTCTTCCATGTTGCTGCAAATGGCAAAATTTTGTTCCCTTTTATGGCTGAGACATATTCTGTTGTTTATATACACCACATCTTCTTTATCTACTCATCTGTGGTTGGACACATAGGTAGTTTCCATGTCTTGGCTATTGTGAATAATGCTGCTCTGAATATTGGGGGATACTGCCTAATTCTTGAAATGAATAAATTGCATTAAAAATGCATAAAACATAGGTGATCTGAGGAGTTTTTTACTCGTTCCCTCTGAGCATCTTCCTCTGGAACTTAAAGTCTTCAGGGTCCTGATTCCCTAGTCTTTTGTATTAGGAGCGCTTTGAGTCCCTTTTCCAGAGAAAGTTGCATCATTTCATCTTTGACTTGATTTCCCTGTTTAGGAGAGTTGTCACTAAATAGACCTTTTGCTGTTTATTTTCATTTTTACTTTATTTTTGTTCATTATATGTTTGTTGAGAAGTATTTGAAATCTGATATCATTGTGTCCATCTACTCATTTGTGCTACATATTCTTTTTTGTTGACGTTTGTTTGATTGACAATGTTGTGCCAACCTCTGCTTCACAGCAAAGTGAGGCAGTTATATACATACAGACATTCTTTTTATATTCTTTTCCATTATAGTTTGTGACAGGATATTGAATATAGTTCCGTGTGCTGTACATTAGAACCTTATTGTTTATTCATTCTAAATGCAATACGTCGCATCTACCAATCCCGAAGTCCCAGTCCATCCCCCTTCCTCCCCTAAGTCCCCCTTGGCAGCCACAAGTCTCTTCTCTAGGTCTATGAGTCTGTTTCTGTTTTATAGATAGGTTCATTTGTGCCAGATCCAGCTGTCTCACTCCTGGAAATATAACCAGAAAAAACTATAATTCAAAAAGATACACGTCCCGCTATGTTCACGGCAACACTATTCACAACAGCCAAGACATGGAAACAACCTAAATGTCCATCCACAGATGAGTGCATAAAGAAGAAGTGATACATACATACAATGGAATGCTACTCGGCCATAAAACAGAATGAAATGATGCCATTTGCAGCAACATGGATGCACACAGTGATTATCATACTGAGTCAAGTAAGCCAGGAAGGGAAAGACAAATACCATATAATATCACTTATATGATATGTGTTACCTTTTGTTGAGATGTTAGAGACAGAAGGAAGGCCAGCTCACCTGGACCATAATGAGTCCCTGAAGAGAGAATACTTTGAGTTGAGCTCAAGGTCATGTGGAGGCTTGTAAGCTAGAGTACAGAGGTGGATATTTAAATGTGATAGGGAGTCACTGAAAGGCTTTCAGCACAGCAGTCGCTGTGCTGATGAATGTTTTTAGAAAGCACTCTGGCTGTATGTAGCGAATGGATTTGGGAGAGCAAGGGGGCATCAGAGAGGACGACTTTGGCTGCTGTAAAGTAACCATGACTTAAATGTGGCGTCTGCTTGTGCCCACCTCTCCCATCTGAATGTGAGCAGCGTTACCAGGTGGCCCCCAGGGGTAGGACATAGCATCATTCTATCCTCTTGCCAAGTGACTCCAAAGACACTGACCTTATCCACATGGCCCCAAATTAATAACAGACATGTCCATGTGGCAGCCAAGAGGAGTAGGAGAAGGGTGCAAGGGGAGGATGTGCCTCTCTCCGTGAAGGAGGTGACCCTTCTCTGAATCCACCACCTCTGCTCCCATCCCATCAGCCCGTGAACTCAGCTGAGTGATCATGTCCAGGGCCAGGGAGGCTGGGAGACTGAGTTTTATCACAGGAACGCCTGTGTCCAGCTGTAGATGTCTTTGGTGAAAGATGTACATGGGGAATGTGTATGTGTAGATGTATATCGGGAAACGCTGAGGTTATTCTGGTCCACTCCAGTGGACTGTGGCGATCTTTGTGGAGAGATGCAGAGGTAGACCATTGTAGGATACATCTTAGCAGATAAATGAGAGGACTTTTCAATACATTGGTTATAGGTGTGAAGGAAGGATGTGGGGGAAAAGATGAGTCTGAGTTTAGACCCGACCCCAAAGTTCCCTATATATGGTTGTTTTTGTTGTTCAGTCGCTAAGTCATGTCTGACTCTGCTATCCCGTGGACTATGGCATGCCAGGCTCCTCTGTCTCCAAGAGTTTGCTCCAGTTCATGTCCATTGAGTCAGTAATGCTGTCTAATTATCTCATCCCCTGATGTCCCCTTCTCCTTCTGTCTTCAATCTTTCCCAGCATCAGGGTCTTTTCCAGTGAGTCGGGTCTTTGCATCAGGTGGCCAAAGTATTGGATCTTCAGCTTCAGCATCAGTCCTCCCAGTGAATATTCAGGGTTGATTTCCTTTAGGATTGACTGGTTTGATCTCCCTGCTGTCCAAGGGACTCTCAAGAGTCTTCTCCAACACCACAGCATGAAAGCATCAATTCTTCAGCACTCAGCCTTCATGTCCAGCTCTCACATCTGTACATGACTACTGGAAAAACCATAGCTTTGACTATATGGACCTTTGTTGGCCAAGTGAAATCTCTGCTTTTTTAATACACTATCTAGGTTTGTCATTGCTTTACTTCCAAGGAGCAAGTGTCTTTTAATTTCATGGTTGCGATTACCATCTGCAGTGATTATATGATAGCACCACAAAAACTTAAAATTTTTTTTAAAAGGATTTTCTATTATAAAATTTCCTGTCATCTACATTTTCACCCTCAATTCTTTGCCCACATCTCTGATAAACTTTTAGAAATACCTTTGAATCAAAGGATGGTAATCAAAGAATTTGCAGTACTATAATATTTTTTTATAAGAGCCACCAAACTGCCCTCCTCCAGGGGACCCAGAGACTGCATCTCTTCTGTCTCCAGCATTAGCAGACAGGTTCTGTACCAATAGCGCCACCTAGAAAGCCCCAGTCCAGTTTAACTGTCCAGTTTATTAGTGTTAAATATTTTCACTGCTGTGCAACAGATCTTCAGAATATTTTCATCTGGCAACCCTGAAACTCTACACTCACTGAACACTAGCCCCGCCCCGCGCCCCCCCAGCCCTTAAAAACGCCTTCTACTTTCTGTTTTCATGCCTTTCAATCAACACGCTATAAATATTCCTCCCAGTTTACCATTTGTCTTCTGGTGTCACTTACTGTATATATTATAGCATGCAAAAGTTTGTGGGTATTTGTTTAATTTTTATGCAGTCAAATATACTGATCTTTTCCATAGTGGAAATCTTTTCCTCTCTTCCTAATTATAACCAAGAGGAAAAATCATGCCTGTTTTTTGTGTTCTTGTAAAACCTCCA